AGAATGTGTAAGTAGGTGGGTAAAGTGAGACGTGAATTGCACATCAATGCGTATCAAAGCCATGCATTGCTCAGCTCAGCGCAATCCCAACACTTTCAGCAGACTTGGACAAATTCTGAGGACGGTCGTGTAAAAGTTTCGAATGCTCCGAGATCCTTAAATTAAGAGCATGTGAGCGCAAACTCAGGAGTCAAACAAAGCATGTGAAACACATGTGAAACATATGCAAAACATGAACAAATCCCAAGCACCAAAGTCTAAGCCCACCACTAAGAACCAGGATAATTGGCCGTAGAGGCCGTGAAAATCGAGTGGTTGGTGCAATGGCAGCATCAATCAGAAGAAGTGTCGTTAAGGCCGCATATGTGGTCTGCCAGACCTGGGTTTGACTGGGTTTGACTTTGCAGCTTTTCGAAGACCAAGTGTGCCATTTTAAATGACTTCAAATGACTTGAAATGAACACTCATATGGTAATTATATTTCAAAATGATAATCTTTGCACATGGTCAAGCCACCAGAATCAAACATCTATAGTAATTTTATCTAATGTAGTGTGTATATATATATATACAATAGTATGCTAAGCACCCCGCTTTGGAGCCTTTCAGTGAAAGGAAGGTACCAGCTCCCATATATGCCACCTCAAAGTTGATCAGGTATGGACATCAATCCAAGTGTGCGCAGAGAAGACCACCAAAAAAGGTCATATCCCTAATGCAACTCAGCAGGCCGCAGATTGTGCTCCATAAACATAAATCTGTGCAAGTTTATGATTGTGTTGGCATCCAACCTTCAGAAGGATGTCTGCCACATAGAGAAGCATGAGACAAATCTCTGCAGCATTGATCCAACCTGCACCAAGAAGAATCTGAATTCTAGACTCACATTATAAGAATGTATAAGATAGAGTAAGCAAACAAATCCAATTGAAACTAGTGACAAAGAGTGTGCATGCTGCTAATTCCTGTTGGAATGGAAACCGATAAAAAAAACACATTTTCCCTAGTATAGTCATGCTTACCAGCAGCCTCGAGTGCTTGCTACTCGCTGCGATGGTGGGGGCTCAAAGACGATTAGCAAAGAATGCAAAACGCAGGCAGTCATCAGCATGACCTTTGTTATCTCAACACTCTGACCAGAAATCTGCTGAGATCTGCTGAGTACACGTTTCTGATCGTTTTTGTGTTCCCTGGTGCAAGTGCAGTTTTCCACACTGAAAGACCTGAATCAAATCAGCGAGAATGGAAGAAAACACCGCTGATCGGACGAGATGCATGCCAAACAATGTGAGTCTGCACCAGGCAGCAGTTCAGTTTCAGTTTGTTTCCAGACTTAAAGTTTGAAGCCAGGCCATTGTCCAATCGCCCCTCTGCAGCGTCTTCAACATAGTATGCTGCGAGCTGGATGGCATGTTCCAGTTCCTGCAAGCAATCAGCATCAGCGAAAGCATTGATTTCTGTTGAGCCATGGTCCCTGCTCCGGGCACTCCCGTTGGTGGGGAGCGCCCCCGGCGGCGGCCGCCGGAAGGCGCTGGAGGGGCTGATGCGATGGAGGTCGACCCCGGCAGTCCTGCTGCTCCTAGGCGGCTCTTCTGCCCGGTGGACGGTTGCCCTTGTGCGGATGCTAACTCCGCCCGTGGGTGGACCTCCGACAGCACCCTGCGAGCACATGTAGATGCTCATTTGGCGGGCTCGCTCAGTGGTCAGGTTCCTTCGGCTTGGCTTCAAGATCGCTCTTTGCAGCAGTGCTTGGTGTGCGGGTTGTCTGTGTCCACTCGCTTCGGCATCCATCCCACGTGCAGGCCTGCTGCTCGGGCTGTGGGCGGTGCGGTCGGGAGCGGCCCCAGGGACACTGACGGCCCTCTTCCGTCCTTAGCCGAGATCCAGTGCAGCTACACGCCAACTCTGCGGCATGTTCCCCCTAGCGCCCGCTATGCTTGGGGGCAAGCACTGACTCGGGCATGTGCGGCGGTGGCTGAATACAACGATGAGGCCGCTTGGGTTCATTTACTTATGCTGCCCAAATGTGTGCTATGCAGCCCCCGCCGGGGTGGCCGGAAACATCAGCGCACCGCAGCCGCCTTCACCATCGAACGCCTCAAGCGTTGGAATGATGGCGAGCGGGCCTCTTTGTGGGCCAGTCGGCCTCAGCCGCAGCGGCCCCATGGCCGTGACATGACGGCGGAGCAGAAGCGGGACTTCGCCACCGGCCTTGCCAGAGAAGGCTTCGACAAGAAGGCCTGCACAGCCTTGCTTTCGCACGGTCTCTGCGACCACTCCCAGGCAACAGTTGCAGCCCTGCGCGCCCTCCACCCCACATCTGCAGCACCAGTCGTCCCTGCGTTGGAGAGCTTGCCGTTGGCGCCCGGGTTCGATGTCGATGCGGTGACGCAAGCCCTTCGCCGCTTCCCTTCAGACACGGCGCCGGGGCCTAGTGGCCTCCGCGTGCAGCACGTCTTGGATGCTGTGGGGCATGGCGTCGGGCTCCTGGACCAGCTTACCGCGGTTGTGAACCTCCTGGCCCAAGGGCGGGCTTGTCCAAGCATTGCTCCACTGCTCGCTGGTGCGGGGCTGGTGGCTTTGCCCAAGCCGTCTGGCGGTATCCGCCCAATAGCGGTAGGCGAGCTTCTTCGCCGCCTGACCGGCAAATGCCTCATGCAAGCGGTGCGGCCTGAGGCCCGGGACCACTTCTGGCCTGCCCAAGCAGGTGTTGCAGTGCCGGGCGGAGCTGAAGCTGCGGTCCATGGCCTGCGAGCTTGTGTCAGCCGCCATGCCGCTTCGCACGACTCGGTCGTGGTGAAGGTTGATTTCCAGAACGCCTTCAACACTGTCAGCCGTGATGTGGTCTTACAACAGGCCCGGGACAAGTTTCCCGCTCTGGCCCGCTGGAGCACGTGGTGCTACCAGCACGCCACCAACCTCCAGTTCGGAGACACGGTCCTCCAGTCCAACAGCGGAGTCCAGCAAGGGGATCCCTTGGGACCCTTGCTCTTTGCGGCTGCTCTCCATCCCCTGGCTGCAGCGCTTCGGACCACCGCCTTGGACTTTTCGGTGTTCTACTTGGACGATGGGGTGCTGGCTGGGCCCATTGATGCGGTGACAGCTGCCCTGTCTCAACTTCAGCAGGCTGCTGGTCGAGTTGGCTTAGTGTTGAACTTGGGCAAGAGTGAGGCCATCGCTGTGGGCATGACGTCTGCCGCGGCCATTGCGGCCAAGCTACCATCCCAACTTGTGAGCACTTCCGATGGCAACAATCGCATTCTCCGTGACTTTGAATTTCTCGGGGCTGGCATTGTGGGCCCGAGTATTTGCAAAGGCATGCCACTGGTCGAGTTGAGGGTGCCCGCAAACTTTTGGAAGCCATTGGTGCACTTGAAGATCCACAGGTTGCCCTTCGGCTGCTGCGAGCTTCCGCTGGTTACGCGAGGCTCGTGCATACCATGCGGTGCTGCCCACCCGCTGGGCACGAGACTGCATTGGAACAGTTTGACTACCTGGTGCAAGAATGTTTCAGCTCCTTCACTGGTCTGCATGTTGAGGCTTCTGCGTGGCAACAAGCAAGCCGTGGCTTGGGCCAAGCCGGCCTGGGGCTCCGCTCCACTAAGGTCCATGCGCCAGGTGCCTACCTTGCCTCAGTTGGCGCTTGTGCCCGACTCTGTGGTGAGCTTGATGGCGGCTACTGGTTAGACCATTCTGGAGATGTGGCCGCCGCTTTGTCGGCACTCAACGCTTGCCTGGACCCAACTCAGCAGCTCACTGCCGCCGCTGCCTTGGGGCTCACGCAGAAGGACCTCAGCCGCAGAATAGATGGTGCTGGGTGGCAGGCCCAACTCCACGCAACTTCCGCTGTTGGCAAAGCCACGTTGTTGTCGGAGGCAACGCCTGGTGCTCGGGCCTTTCTGACCTGTGCGCGGTCCGGCCGCACACGCATGGAGCCAGCGGTGTTCGTGGCTGAGATCCGGGTCCGTCTGGGCATTGCAGAAGCTGCTGCCGACACATGGTGCCCCAAATGCGATGCCATTCTGGACACGCATGGGTACCATGCTGGCATGTGCATGGCTGGTGGGGAGCGTACACTTCGCCACAACGCCCTTCGTGACCTGGTTCACAGTTGGGCCGAACGAGGATGTCTTCGCCCTGAGCGTGAGAAGGCTGGCCTGCTTCTCCCACAACGACCTGATGATGCGGCCAGTGCCCGACGCCGCCCTGCGGATGTGTTTCTCCCGTCCTTCCTTGGACGCCCAACTGCACTTGACTTTGCCGTCACGGCACCCCAGCGGTTGGACGCCCTTGGTGGTTCAGGAAACACTTCTGCTGCGGAGGCATATGGTGCTTACAAGCGCCGGCACCTGGACACAGCTGATGCATGCGCAGCCCAGCACGTGACCTTCCTCCCCATGGTGATTGAAACCACGGGCGCTTGGGCGCCGGAGGCGGCCCAAGCCTTGGCTCACATCAGCCGCGCTGCTGGAGGCGGCGCAGGCGGGCCCACCTTGTTGCAGGAAACCTGCGTGCTGGTGCGTAGCTGGAGGGGCCGTGCTGCTCTGCGGCGCCGTGCTGAGCTCGTTGCTTGAGCTTTGGTCGTTGTGCGGATGGCTTGCCGGACTCCGGCTGGGATGGCCACGTCGATCTCTTCTGGTCTTCGTTGTCTTCGACCCTTGCGTGCGGGCCGCTTTTTGCTGAGGCAGTGAGAGGCATCCTTGCTTTTTCCGACCATCTTTGGCTGGCCCTGACTCGGCCAAGCTGTGTCGGGCATTTGGCCTGCATGCCTCTTAATTTTTCTTCTCTTGGCCTCTGGGGTTTGTGCAGCGGGGCCTGGGTCCATGAGTGGCTCTGGTTTTGGGCATCGGCCAGGTTTTTTTTCCACCTCAAGGGTGTTTTTTCCTGGTCGCTGCTCCGTTCTGTTTTCACAATACTACACCATTGAGGAGCAATCAGCAAGACTCTTGGATTTACTGATTATCACATATTATCAGATTCATATTCGTGCTACCCTCGTCCTCATCTTTGACAGCCAGCATAGCGTTCCTGTGGGTACGCCACCTGATTGGAGATAAGAACAAAGGAACCGGCACAATGCATTTGTTCCAAACACTAGAGCCAACTCCAGAACTCAATCAATGATCCATGCCTGGAGACAGCATTAACTGGCGAGTTTGAATTTTTTCTCGAAGGCGAATCCTCACCAGACCGTGTTGAAACCTCAGCATCAAATATCATCCACAAAGTATGTTGGATTCGGTGTTTGTCTGACGCGCATGTGTTGCTCGGCAAAAACCCGAGCACGACGATACTACTATTTTGGCACCCCACAGCATCTCAAAAACGCTTATGCCAAGAAACTCCCAAAGTGGGGCCTTTGCAACGCAATTGTGACCCCAAACATGGGGACTGCCCACCAAGGTAACCTTCCAGAAGCGCAACCACATGCTGTTTGATTGCAATTTGTCCGAATTCCAATTCTTGGGTATTGGCACGGGATTTTAAAAAAAATGCTAGTCAAATCCAAGGTTTTTCTCATACTGCATTTTGACAGCACGACAGTACAAATGTGAAATGAACTAAAAAGACATACTGCATTTACACCAACTGGTACAGAGCAACAAAACACAGGTTTGCCATGGTCTGCCTTTCGAATTTTTCAGGACGAAAGCAGAAACCGACCCAGAAAAGGGTTCATTGGGACTGGGCCTTGCTCAGCTGCTCCACGACAACTTTGCCGCCGTCGCAATGTGTCCTCCACTTGTTTCGTTTATTTTTCAATCATACGCCAAACACAAAACGAAATCAATCTGGCACACCAACGAACCTGATTCGCAACATTTTCGCTGCGGTCTTCTGCAGCAGTTGTGACCCCAGGCCTCGCCACGGCATGCAAAATGAACTGCGAATTGCAAAAGAAACTGATAAAATACAATTTTTCAAGCAGCAGACTGGTGTCATTTTCCACTTATACAGTTTATACAATATGAATTGCGCTGACGGCCAACCGCAATTGGCATCGCTTAAAGGCCCCGGCAGCTCATGCGACATCAGCAGCAAACCGTTTTCTGAATTGAAGTAAACCTACACAATTTATAAAACTGTTTTTGTGGTGTGACATGATTTTTGACAAACAAACGTTGGCATGCTCATGTTATTCACAAACAATTTTTGTCACATGTTTTCCTGAATTTACGTTGGAGGTTTGCTTGCAATGAATTGCATGTCTGCCACCAAATTTGCTGAAGGCAGCAAGGCATGTACTAATACGAAGGAAAAAATTTTGTTTCCATGCAATGGTTCGTCAAACAAAAATGAACATGGCAATTTCCCAATACTTTTCCCATGCATATTCATTGGGGAAACAAGTTGAGATTTCACCCCCAAAGGCCATTTTTTTTGAAACATGGACAAAACAGCGGCAAACTGATGGTCAAAGGGTGAAATATTCTGGACAACAGTGATTTAAAGACTGTTATCCCGGCAAAAGACCCCAAACAATGTGGGGGAGCGGGGGTATAATTATGATAATGTGGATGATGATGGTGATGATGATGGTGATGATGGTGATGATGATGATTTGCTATACCCGTGTAATGCTTATAACTAAACCTTAAACCGTGGCAAACCTGCAGGCCAAAGGGGGCGGCAACGCCCACCCTCCAGCCACTTTTCCCCGAACTAACTCTTGCAGCTCTCCCAGGCCCATCCCCGACGGTTTCCACCCAGGTTCTCCCAGGAAATCCCGGAAACCCCACAAAATCGCAGAAAATAACACCCAGTTTCTCCCAGGAAATCCCGGAAACCCACAAAATCGCAGAAAATAACACCTACTATTAGGTTCGCCCAGGAAATCCCGGAAACCCCACAAAATCGCAGAAAATAACACCCAGGTTCTCGCAGGAAATCCCGGAAACCCACAAAATCGCAGGAAATCACTAATTTCCTGGGAGAACCTGGGAGAACCTGGGAGAACCTGGAGTTGGGATTGACCTGGGCAGACTTAGGCGGACCTGGGCCGACCTGGACAGGGTTAGCCTGAATAAACCACGCATATGTAAACCAGAGCAGAATTGGATAAAACACCACTAACGAATAGTGCTGAGCCAACATCGTTTTGATATGTATCCTGCACCATTCAAAAACCAATTTTAACACCCAGAAACCCACAAAAATTAAAAACAAGGCCCCAGAATCCTGATTTATATTATATGCATTACAAGGGTTGATCAAATGATGATGATGATGATGATGATGATGATGATGATGATGATGATGATGACAATGATGATGATGATGATGATGATGATGATGATGATGCGGAGGAGGAGGAGGAGGAGGAGGAGGAGGACGAGGAGGAGGAGGAAAATGTTGCGGACGATGATGTTGAGGATGACAACGTTATGGAAGATAAGGTGGAGGGGGATGATGTTGCGAGGATGATGTTGCGGAAGATGAGGTGGAGGATGATGATGTGGAGGATGATGATGTTGAGGAGGATGAGGATGAGGATGTGGAAGATGAAATTGAGGATGATAAGGTGGAGGAGAATGATGCTCAGAAGGAGGAAGATGATGATGTTGAGGATGTGTCAAAGAAAGGAGCGGTTCCCTTTCACCTTCGGAACCACTTGTAGCGGTCCCCACATCTATTCACATCTGTTCACATGTTGCTTTTGACATGGGGCAAATGTCACTGCTATATTTTGACACCCCGCCTCCAAACCTTCGTTTTAGAATGGTTCGGCCTTTCTCTGTACTGCAGCATGTTCCATCCTATCTGCTAGCACCGCAGGAACAGTCTGGATCCTTGTTGTCACATTTATTGGTGCTTCTACAAAGCCCTCCCTCTAACGCCTAAAGCTGCTAGAAAGTCTTGACGATGAAGGCCGCACCGCGACTCGGCTATGGTGTTCTCCACTGCCACCATCACCATCGGGGTACTCCTCGTCATAGTCGTAGTCTGATCTGCCACGACCATCTCCATCGTCTCTTCCATCAGCACTGCCGGGATCGTCTTGATCATCTCCAGGCTGTGATGGGTCGTCATCTGTTTCTGATTCTTCACCTTCCCCAGCTAAACTTCCTGCCTCTGTGTCTGGCTCCTCGAAGAAGAAATCTGCATGTCGATCGTCATCAAGCCAACTCTTAGTCTGCTCTGCAGTTTCAATCCACAACTCTGCTCTGCCAGATTGAAATTTCATGTAGAAAAAGCGCCGTGCACAGATCTGCGGTCAGATCCAACGCTTCATCAAAATTCCTACAGAACTACGCAGGCAGACGCGTACGTCAACCACGCACACCAAACACAAGCGCAGAGCGTAAATTCACAAACCTAATTAGACTAAAGCAATACCGTGTCAAAAGGATTGTTTCACCCTCGACTCCCACGTGCTGACGTCAAGCTCCTTCTTTTCGCTCCAGACGCAACACGATCAGTCACGGGAAAACAAAAACACAACAAACAAACAAACCAAAACCGGGAAAGAGGAAGATGTGTTCCCTGTGTCGGTCTGTCTTATGTCAAGCTATGTGACACAGCAGCTCTTGTTCATTAAATGAACTTCTGACACCAGTCCTTCGAGCCGATGTCTCAACTGGTAAACTCGATTCCAGGTTTCCAGTTAACAAACCTCAAGTTCTTCAAATAAAGGTCTGTTGAAACTATTCCAGCTGCTACAAGTCTACAAAACTCAATTTCACTAGATGAATTCAAAACATCGAAACACTTCCAAAAGTTCTCAAATCAAACTGGTTCTCATCCAAACGTGAATAACCAGCTCATTAGTCACAAGCTGACTAACTTCTCAAGAACGAAGTGGTTCACACAAGGTATCTGTACAACCTTCTTCTGGATACAAAACATAGTCAGAACACAACGTTCCTTCTCCAAATCAGATTTCCACATAGAGATAGCATCTCACAGCTTCAAACCTCAATGTAGAACAGAATGTTCTGCTCGACATTGTCAATGTAGGTCAGCCAAATACAGTTGTATCGCTGAAGTCTTTCGACCACTGCAATAGCCAATCCACAATGTAGACCAAAGTCTTCTCAAAACAATGTCGTCCTCATAGAGGTAACCAAAGTCTTCTCAGGAACGATAAAATGCACACCATAAGACCAAGTGTATGATCCATAGGTCACGATGACGATGATGTAGGTATTGTCCTCACAATACTGAAACATCTCATCACAAAACTCTCAGACAAATAAGATGAGCCAATGTGGCCATTGTCCTCACAATGCCAATGCATCTCAAGGTCCAAGACTCAAAATATAGTAGGTTCTCTCCATCAGATATTTCCAGCTAGCTTAAACTCTTCTCCAAGAGTTTCTAGCTGTGTTCTCATCACTTGGAGAGAATAAACTTCTCAGTGTCGAATACACAATACAAAATCTCAATGTCAAACCAATGTAGGTATCTTCAGCTCAAGCAATAAGCTGTACCAGACTCAAGTCGAATCCAGAATAAGATGTAGAACTGATCAATATACCACAATCAGGTCAACACTGATGAATGACATCTCAAGATGTCAAAAAATGGTAAGTCCAAAGACTCATAGAATATTGTCACAATGCGCCGGTTTCTTCCGCAACAAGTAGAGTGTTCTCTACCAATCTTCCGCGTCATGTGTAAGCGATGAACTCTTGCAGTAGCCTTCCACGTATCTTCTGTGCATAAAACTATACAACCATGATGAATGGCATGTCGCTTCACCCTTACCCAGAGGGTGCTCCCACAGGGTGTCAAATTTCCATACCCCCTTTCGACATGACATCTCATCCATTCACATCACTGCCATGTACGGATACCAATAGTATTCGCTGATCCGCAGAAAAATGTTCATGTTCCAGATCACATTCATGATCAAAAGATAGTCAAAGAAGAACACGTCTTCCAAAACACAAAGTAGATGATCTTTATCATCCAAAACTCATCTCGTTCGATTCATGCATAATGTCGTAACTTCCAAATTCAAAATCTTCTCTGTCGCGAAAACCAGATGTAGGAATACCAGACTCAGTCCAAAGACTCCTGAGGTCTTTCCAGTACTAAACTTGTCTTCCAAAATCCAGTTCTTCGGATAAACCATGGCGTCAATAACGATGTATCTACAGTGCTGTTGCCTTCCTACAACAAACAAAACAACAACAACAACAACAACAACAACAACAACAAACAACAACAACAACAGAACAAAACAAACACACACACACACACACGAGACCCAAGACGAAGCCTAACGTCACACGATCGGAGTCAACACGAAAACAAAGGCCAACTGTTTCAGCTAATCCGCACCTTCATGTAGAAGGTAGGCGTATGAAAAGAAAACGAAAGTGAAATAATATCACTCATGCAACTCATCTCAAATTCAAAGCAAGTGAAGTACAGTTCACAGTCACTGCACAACGAATTCAAAACACTCTGAATGAAAATCGTTCACAGTTAGGGTTCAGGCTAGCTAAGTTCGGCACAATGTTCGCTATCCCCCTTTCAACGTCTGATCCATCCTAACGATCTCGAAGGTGTGATATATCTTGTTTAAGTCCATATCATGACATGACAATGCAATGTGTCTGCAATCATGGCATCAGATTCCCCGGAAGATTTTCCGATTAGTTAGACTCAGATTCCGTCTGAGTTTCTTCCCAGGTTCTCATCATTTGCCATGACAACTCAATTGTACCACATGTACATTATCAAGTTCCAAAAAAAACTAAAGCATCAAGACATGAACATACAAATTCA